AGCAGAGGAACTGAGAAGCATCCAAATTCCGGCTGCCACACCTTCATCTATGCCGCTCCTGTCGGGATCATTCTCCCCTTTTCTCCCTCTGCCCTTCCACACCCCAAGGGCGGTCCGCGGCCCCAGCTTAAATCAATGGACAGACGGGGCCCTGCAAACCTAGAGAAGCTGTTCTGTCCTTGCGTCACCTCCCTCCACCCCAGTGGAACCACCTTTTAGCTTGGCGCACACATCTCCACCGTGAACAGGGCACAGGGCTGAGCTTTGAGGGGAGACAAGATGAGCAGAGACAGGAAGGCTCAGAGCTCCATATGGGAGGATTGGGGAACAGCCCTGCGCAGCCTGGGGCCTGACACAGCTGGGCATAGGAAGCCAGAGCAATGAGAAAGCTCATACTCACTCTTCAAAACATAGCACAAATGTCCCCTCTTGCATAAAGCCTGACATCGCCAGCCAATGTCTCGCCTTTGCTTCAGGGCTCCCAGCCCTGAGGTGTCTCCCTCTGTCCCAGTCGTGACCGCACAGGGCTGGGGGTGTCCATCTCCTCAGTCTGGGAGCACCCAGAGGGCCAGGCCTGGCACTACCTGGCACAAAGAAGAAGGCTGCCTCCCTGCAGTCCCCACAGCTGCCTTCCCAGGTATTAAGGCCATGCCCCCGTGCCCTTCACTAGACAACCAGCAGTACACAAGATGTAGGCAGGGGTGGAAGTTCATCCTCAAGTTTATCCGGTTCCCCATCAGCTGCTATTAAAGCCTCACTGGGGACCTTGGCCGCCTGTGGGTCCGGGGCCTGACAGGTCCCATGGCTACTTCCCCATCTGCTAAAAGCCAGGAGGTTAGCAAATGTATGCAAATCTGGGATGGCCTGTGGCCAGAGGGGCTGGGCCTCTGGAGTTCCCTCATCCTTTCAGTAAGCCCGGCCTGGACTAAGGAGGGTGGGCCACCCACCTCCCCAACCCCAAGGCTGTGTCCCCAGGGAATGCCCCCCCCAGGAACCCCCATGGGCCCCCTCCCTGAGTGGTTACTTCCCCCCTCTGCATCCGCACGTGGCGGATCTTGGACCAGAGAAAAGGCCCCCCACCAATCCACAGCTCCCTGACACAAAGCTTTCATTGCAGAGTGGAGCCTGAGAGCCAGAGGTGAGTGTCCTCTCAGACTCCCAAGGCAGGTGAGGCACCCAGAGCCCCCAGACCCCCAGCATACACAGCTTCCACCCAGCACCCAGGAGACCACAGGGACCCAGAGAAGGGGCTACAGAGAGGGGATCCAGTCACGTTACCTCCTCCACCCCAACCGCATTCAAATAGGGATTTGAATATATTTCCTGAGTCTAGCAGGGGGCCCTGCTCGGTACAATCCACCCTCCCCGGACCTGGGTCTTTGCAGTAATCCCTACAGAGAAAGAGCAGTTATTTCTAGGCTCCAAAACCCCAGGACCTACTCTTGGGCTCAAGACCAAGGCTTTTCTCAATGTCTCCCTGGGATGGATAGAACTAGGAAGACCAGAGCCCAGGGGCCCACAGCCCCCCACCCGCCCCACGCGCCCCAAGCCCAGGCAGGAAGCGAAGGGGAAGAAGATGTGAGGGGAAGGAAGGGGCCCAGGGCCTGGGAGGAGGAGACACATGTGGGGGAAGAAGTTGATGGAGGCCCCTCCCCCATAGGCAGAAGGTGGGGGGGTGGTGTCAAAGGAGGTGAAAACCTCAGGCAACCTGTTGGCCGCCTGGGAGTTCCCAGGTAACCCTCAAGACCCCCATACAGTCCCATCTGGGGGTTTGAGCCTCAGTGGAGTCAGCCAGGGGCTTGGAAGCTTTAACCCCAAGTTTGTCAGTTCTTAGCCTAGATGTGCTCTAACCCAGAGCCTATTAACCCATTCCTGTTACCCTTGGGTGAGACATGCCCGGATCTCAGAGTTTACTGCCCCCTCCAGCCCTCCCCCCTTCCCCCTGGGCCAGTCCCAGAGTCCGGAGCATATTCTCTTCTATATCACAGGCCCAGAGTTTCAGTGTATTAAGTCTCCTGGTGCCAGCCAGGGGTGGCCCCCACCTCCAACCCTTGGCACTCCAGCCAGTGGCAGGCTCACCTGGGACATCTGGGGGCGCAGGTTGACCTCACGCAGGTTGATGGCATGGGGCAGCAGGTTGTTGAGCAGCTGACACAGAAGGACGCCATCCCGGAGGGCCTGTGCCAGCTCGCACACCTGGGCCCCGTCCCAGGTCACGCGGTGGCTGGGGGGCAGCACCCGGCACTGGATCAGCCAGTGGGTACACTGGCGCCACAGCTCCATGGCCGCTGCCTTACCGGGTCAGCCCGCGCGCCCTTGCGGCCTCCACCGCCTGCTCCACCGCCTGCCTGCCTGCCTAAGCTAGCTAGCTACCACTTCCTCTTCTTTGCCTGTAACTGTCGCCCTGAGAGGGGGTGGAGGAGGTGGAGCCGTGGGGGGGGGGGGAGGCGGGAGCACCTGCAGCCCAGCCCCTTCTATTCAGGCCCTGGCATCTCTTCCCCCCACCAGCTCAACACAGGCCCGGGCACTGGGGGTGGGGGGCTGCTGGCGGAGTTACTGAGGCCTGCTGCCTTCCTCCATATCCAACCCTCTCAGCAACAGACTCAAGATCTGCTCTCTTCTGAACCCTCTCTCCCCTGCCTCCACCCCACGTTGGCACCCAACGTCCTAGCTTGAATGAGCGTATTCTCCTCTACCCTGGTCCCCAGGCTCACCCCCGCCCCCACAGTCTGTCCTCCCCACGGAGGAGAACACCTGTGAGCATCTGGGCAAGTCATGATGTCCCTCCTCTTCTTACAGCCCACTGCCCTGCAGCCAACAAGGCCCTACATGACATGGCCTCCCTGCCCTCACCTCTTCCACTCACCACTTTCCCTCACGCATTCTGCTCCAGTCACACAGGCCTCCTTACCCAGGACACCCTAGAATCTTACCCCAAAATCCTGCCACAGGGCCTTTGCACATGCCACTCCTCTGCCTTCGACAAGCAACTTCATGGCTAGCTGCTCCCTTACCTCCAACAGTTCTTTGCTCAATGTGACCTGTTCATGAAATCTTCCCAAACCTCTCCATTTCAAAATCACAGACTTTCTTTTCCACTTCCCTACATTAAGCCCTGATCACCATCCAACAAACCTGACATTTTATTATATTTATTTCTTTATTGTCTATTTAGAAATCTCTGTCTCATATGTTCCCAGCACCTGGCATAAATACATGCTCCGTAAGTATTTGTTGAATGAATAAATAAATGGTTGGAAGCTTTTTTTGTCTCTACCTCTAACATCCCCAAATTCATTCATTTATTGCCATGGCCCTGGCCACCACCATCTCTTTCCTTATAGACTTCGATGGTGTCGTTCATTAATCCATTCGTTTAGCAAACATTTACTGTCTTCGTAGACCTTATCATTACCTGAAATCATTTTGTATGCAAGGTCTCTCTCTCCCCACCTCCACCCCACTAGGCTGAATAGACTCCCGTCTATCTCACGAGGCACGCCCCTTGGATTTTTCTTTTTTAATCCTTTAATCACTAGGGGGCGCTAGACTCCTTCAGTGGACAGACACCACCCCCACCCCCCCCCACCCCCGACCGCACCAAAACTAGGTGGGACGAGGTCAAGGAAAAGACACTCCCCTCAGCATTTCCTGAGCCTCGAGCCTCTTCCACATTCGCGGGGGGAAAGCCGAGCCTGGAAATCACCAGCTTTGCGATCCCACAGGCACCGAAACTTTTCATCCCCAACCATCCCGGGCGCCCATTTCCTCATCTGTAAAATGGGTGACAGCAACCTTCACCGTTTAGAATTCTGGTAGGGATCAGAGATTGTGGGGCTGCACAGATGAAAGCGAGGAAGGCAGAATGGCGCTCCAGGGCTCCAGGTATGAATCCCACCTCCGCCACTCACAAGCCGGGTCAATTTGGGCAAATGGCTTAGCTGCCCGGTGCCTCCGTTTCTGCATCTGGAAAATGGGGGTGATGGAAATAGTACCTACTTCACTGAGGGGTCGATGTAAAAATTAAATGCGTTGAAGCAGGTCACGGAAGCGGGACAGTCCTGGCACACAGTAAGTGCTCAATAAGTGTTAGTTGGCGGCTACTGCTTTCAATACTGTTTTTATTACTGTGAGCCCTCAATAAACGTGGCCAGACCGTCCTCCCTCTTGTTCCAGATCATTCCCCCAACCTTTCCATGCTTGCTCCAAGCATCACGATGGAAGCCCACCTCCCACCTCCCACCAAGGAAACCACCCGAATGTTTCCCCCGGCCATAATCCCCCAGAGTCTAGCTCATCTCCCTCGTGCTGTTACAGGGGAGAGGCTGTCGTGTTTTCCCGCATCTGTCTCCACAAAACCCGACATCCCCTGGAGTTCCCTTCCCGGAAACCCAACGGGACGGTCTGGAGGAAGCGCACCTCTACGTCACAGCAGCCGCCACACCCGCGCTGCAAGAGAGCCCGTAAGGGGCCGCCCTGTCCCCGCGAGGAGCCCTGGGGGATAGAGGAGAGAAACACCCTCCCCACGATCCCAAGGGGTTAGGGGTACTTAGGACCAGCCAGCGGGGAACCGAGGAGCCAAGCTCTAACGGGCGGGACTAAGAGGGGCGAGGAGCGTGTGGGCGTTGCCATCCGATGGGGGCGGGGCGACGTTCTAGGCCGGGCGGGCCCCCTGGAAGGGACAGAGGGAGTTCCCAAGGGGCGTGGTTTATGGGAGGGGGGAGGTTCTCCAAAGGGGGCGTGGTTAGCGCCGAGAACGGCTCTAAGAGGGTGGAGCCGGGACGAGAGGGCGGGTGAGAGCCTAGGAGGCCACCTTCCGAGGCTGAGTCCTCGGGGGCGGGGCCAGGTGATCTGGCTCGGTAACGCACCGGGCGCGGCTGGAGAAGGTGGGGTCCGCTGGGGCGGGGAGGGAGGGGCCGGGAGCCGCAGAGCCTCCGGCTTCGGCCCGGCCCCAGCCTCTCACCAGCTCCGCGGGTCCCGGTCCAGGTGAGTGAGGGGACCCAGGCACATCCAGGATCGGGGGTTATTGGGGTGGGGAGTCCTCTCTTTTCCAGATGGGGCCACCGTCTTGCAGGGAGAATCTGGGTGTCGGGCCAGGAGCAGCGGCGTTCGGAGAAGGGTCGCCGAGTGCCTGATTGTGTCGCTGTGCGTCGCGCGTGTCCATGTACCTGGCCGTACCTGGGAGTGCACCTCTAAGCGTGCTTCCCGTGCAACATGAAAAGCCTCCCTGCTTCCACTTTGCCTGAGCAATCTTTTTATTTTTTATTTTTATTTTTTTAAACCACAAACCAGATCGTGCCCCTCCCTCATTTAAAACCCTTCCGTAACCCCCATTGCATCCCGCTAAGATGAGAATTTGGGGTCCACCAGAATGGTCTCACCCCTGCCGACCTCGCTGCTCTCCACTTAGCTCCTTGCTCAGTGCATTGCGGCTACAATGACTTCCTTGATGCTGTAAAATGTAGAGAGTAAGCTCTATTAACCCCAGGCCTTTGCACTTGCTGTCCACCCTCTCACCCCCGCATCTGGAACTGCTCTTTCTCCGAACCTTTGCGTAACTGTCTCCTTCCTTTTATTGAGGGCTCAGCTCCAGTGTCACCTGGTGGGAGAGACCTTCCTGACTATATGTTATTTACAGTAGCTGCCTCCTCCAGTCTTTTTTATCACACATTCCTGTTTTATCATCGTCAGTGATTACTCGTAGACATTATCGTCTTCATTCCTTGTGTGCTGTTTATTTCGTGTCTTGCCCACGAGACAGCAAAGGGCAGAGCCTTGATCTCACTCATCACCGTGTCTCCAGGGTCTAGAACAGGTCCTGGAACATAGTAAGTCTCAACCAATCAGTGTTTTGCTCAATGTCAAGTTTGAGTACCCGTGTCTAACTGTGTCCATGTGTCCATGTGTAGGCGGCTGCCCCCCTGCACATGTGTGCACATAGGTGTGGTCTGCAGGGCATGAATAACCCCCTTCTTTTCTCCATGTTTGCCCCTACCCCCACCCTCTTCCTGATTCTGCTCCCTTCCTCTCTCCCCTGCCCAAATATCCAGAAATTATTCCAAAGGATTAAGGGCAGGAAGATGATTTAGTTGGCCTCCGTCTAACCTGTGCCCACTCTGAGCTCCCCCCTCATCCAAACTCCCCTCCACCAAACTAACCAGAGCCTTGTCAGTGACCCACCTGCGTGCCCACTAAAGAGGGACGAGGGGAAGCTGACGTTGGGGGACTCAAGACAGGGGCTGGCCTGGCCCAGATGACAAACAGGAAGTACACAGGCATCCACGGGAGACACACCTGGTGTTCAGGTATGTAGCACCTGGAGCCAGGTCCCTGCCCAGCTCCCCGCCCCTACAGCTACCTGGGGCGGGCCTGGGAACTTCTTGCCTGTTTCTGGCCCTCAGGGCCCTGCTGACTCAGGGTGAGAGAATCCTGGTGCTATTTCCCTGCACACCCGGCCAGGCCCAGAACACCTTAGGGGTAGAGAAGTGAGAAGCAGACCTCCTGCTTCCCTCCCATCCAGGGCAGGTTTTCTCCACCAGACACTTGAGACACACAGGGCCTGAGGCCTGCACAGTATCAGGGGAGTCCCAAAATGTCAGAGACCTAAATTTGGCCATAATAATAACAAAGTGTATCGGCTCCAAAATTTAAAAATCTGCAAATGCCAAATTGACATTTCTACAAAATGTGACTTTTTAATGTCCTTAAAAATGGTATTGCATTGAAGGGACACCTGGCTGGCTCAGTTGGTAGAGCATGTGACTCTTGATCTCGGGGTCCTGAGTTCGAGCTCCACGTTGGGCACAGAGATTACTTAAAAATACAATAATAATAAAAAAAATATTTTTTTTAAATGGTGTTGGCGCCTGGGTGGCGCAGTTGTTAAGCGTCTGCCTTCAGCTCAGGTCATGATCCCAGGGTCCTGGGATCGAGCCCCACATCGGGCTCCCTGCTCAGCAGGGAGCCTGCTTCTCCCTCTCCCACTCCCCCTGCTTGTGTTCCCTCTCTCGCTGTGTCTCTCTCTGTCAAGTAAATGAAAAAAATCTAAAAAAAAAAAAAAATGGTGTTACATTGGAAAGCCATGTATGGGTTAGATTTCCTTACAACTTAAGAATTCTTGAGTGTGCACATACACTGCTTAGAAGCTAGAGATTAGTAAAATAAATTTGCTCTGGCCTGGAATGTTCTTTCACCCACCTGGCTCACTCCCTCAAAATCCTCACAGTTGTTACTGATTGAGACCTTCCCCTATGGAAAATCTTACCTCCACCACTTGAGTCTTCATATCCCATCCCTAGCTTTATTTTTCCACTTATCTCTTTCTGATCTATCTATTCCTTCATCTGCTTATTTATTTTCTTAATTGCTGTCTCCCCCACTAGAACAGCAGCTCCTCAAGGGCAGGGATGCCCCTGTTTTGTTCACTGCTGGGCCTCTAGTGCCCATTAGCACCTGGCACATGGTGGGCACCCCATAAATATTAGTTTGAGTGAATTAGTTAATGAAATTTCTCTAAAAAGTAGCATCATGTCATCTGCACAAAAATTGCATTCCATTTGAAAGCAATGCATAGGTCTTCTCCCTTTGCAAGCATCCCAGTGAAGGCACAAGTGTTTCCATGAGATCACAGCCAATTCTAAATTAAAGTTAATCATAGCCCAATTTTGGGGCACCTGGGTGGCTCAGTTGGTTAAGCAACTGCTTTTGGCTCAGGTCATGATCCTGGAGTCCCGGGATCGAGTCCCACATCGGGCTCCCCGCTCGGCAGAGAGTCTGCTTCTCCCTCTGACCCTCTTTCCTCTCATGCTCTCTGTCTCTCATTCTCTCTCTCTCAAATAAATAAATAAAATCTTTAAAAAAAATCATAGCCCAATTTTATATGAGGTGTATATATGAATCTAGCATATATATATAAACAAAATCTAGTGTACATATATTTTTGACTATAAGTGACTTGTTTAATTTAGAATATGTTTATATGTTATATGTTTAGAATATGTTTACGTGTTAGAATATGTTGAGAGAGAGAGAGTTGCATTTTAAGGTTGATAGGATGCAGGCTGCTGTCTCTAAAACTAAGAGGAACATGGAAGGAAGAGCTGACCCAGCCACTTAGGAAGCTTAGGATGCAGGAATAATTATTCCCATTTTACAGATGTGGAAGACTGAGGACTGTTGAAAGTACAGAGTTCAGCCCCTGCACCTTCTGCCCCCAAGAGCTCCATGCAGGTGCAACAGGATGGAGAGGACTTTGCCAGCCAGCCCTGGTACCACGGCCCCCTGTCCCGTCAGGTATCTCTGCTTCCTGCAGGGCCTCAGCACCATCTGATAGGGAGCCTCTCCCGCCCTTGACCTCCTGGGGACTTCTGAGGACTGCTGGGGTCCTGGTTGAGGGACTTATGGTCAAGGTCTATTGGAAGGGGTGACTGAGGGTCTGGGGACTGTCTTGAAGCTTGGTTGGTATCATGGCATGCTCCCCAACCCTACTCCTTCGCTTTGCTTGTCTCTGCATCTGGGTCCCAGGCACCTGTGGCCACCAGGGCCCCATCTCCCTCTTTTATCACCTTCAGTGATTACTCTTAGACATTATCTATCTTCTTCATTCGTGTGCGTTCGTTGTGTGTCTTGCCCACCAGACAGCATGGGGCAGAGCCTTGGGCTCATTCATCACTGTGTCTCCAGGGTCTAGAACAGGCCCTGGCACACAGTGAGTGCTCTGTTGGTGTTGAGCACTCCCTCTTAACCCAAATCTCCTAACCCTCATCTCCAGCTCATTTGTCACCTCAGGAGTCCTGGGACCCTGGGCATCCAATCAAACCGTGAGAGTCGTCATTGCTTAGTGGTTAAAATCGCAGTCCTACAACTTCCATTCTGTGTGACCTTGGGCAAGGTATTTGACCTATCTGGGCCCCAGTCTTCCCATCTGTAAAATGAGGATGATGGTATCTACCACTTAACCTCGGTAAAGGATTAAATGAGTTCCTATGTTTTATACCCACAGCAGTGCTTGGCATGTAGAAAAGGCTACATGTGTCCACCATATGTATTGTTCAGTCCCCAGCTCCCACCAGCAACTCCACTTTGCCTCCCTCTGGTGTTGCGGCCCCCAGCCCCTGTCTCAACACCAGCCACCATGGCTGGCATAGGACTGCTTGAACATTTTTATAAAGGAGGATTTCCAGGCCATAATCAGTTTGGAAGGATCCAGCGAAGGGCACTTTTTGAAGCCATGTTTGTTTACCAAGCCTCGTGCATTTACTCAGGTTGGAAGTTCCATTAGTCAGTGTCAGCTAGCAGCACCCCCAAGATGTCCCTGGCTAAACACAACAGATCTTTATGGGCTTGTTCATGTTACAGTACGAGCTGGTTGAGGAATGGGGAACGTGGAGCTCCAGAAGTCAGTCAGGACCCGAGCTCTTTCTGTCTTGTGGCTCTGCCTTCCACCAGGGCTTTGGGGACATCCCCTGACAGACAGGGGACAGAACCTGTAGGATTGTACAGGAGGGTTTTTTGAGCCAGGTCGGGACATTCCCGGCAACTCTTCTGCCCTCATCCTATTGGCCAGATTGTGTCAGATGATGACTAACTGCAAGGGAGCCTGGGAAATGTACTCCAGAGGTGTGCCCATGAGAAAACAGGAAACGGTTTGGGGCAAAACCACCCAGTGTCTGGGGTGGCTTTTCTTGGGTAGAGGGATGGGGGTGAGGAATCACCATGAATTGCTGATCTGGGCTCATGGCTAAACCCTCTACCCCCTGTCCTCCACCCCCAGAAGGCTGAGGCCCTCCTGCAGCAAGATGGGGACTTCTTGGTTCGAGCCTCCAGGTCCCAGGGGGGCCACCCAGTGATCTCCTGCCGCTGGCAGGGCTCAGCACTACACTTCGAGGTGCTCCGTGTGGCCTTGCGTCCCCGGCCAGGCCGGCCCACAGCTCTCTTTCAGCTGGAGGATGAACGTTTCCCAAGCCTGCCCTCCCTGGTTCGCAGCTATGTGACTGGGCAGCGTCCACTGTCCCAGGCCACAGGGGCTGTGGCCTCCAGGCCTGTGGTACGGCAAGGACCCATTCGACGCAGCTTTAGTGAGGACACCCTCCTAGGGAGCCCAGCTCGGGTAGAGTTGCCCAGGTAATCACAGGATCTCTACCTCTCCAGTGACACCTGATACCCCCGGAGTTTCTCCACCTGTGCACTAACCGCTGCTGATTTGGGTCTGGATTAATTGTCGGGGGGCTGTGCTGTGCATCATAGGATGTTGAGCAGCATCCCTGGTCTCTATCTACTGGGTGCCTGTCTAATCCTCTCCACCCTACCCCCTGGTTGTCACAACCAAAAGATGTCTCCTGACGCTGTCAGGTGTTCCCGTGGGGGTAGATCACCTTGGTTGGGGTCCACTGGTGCTGAGTGACTAGATAGAGGGTTTTCTGGGCATCGGTGGGGGCTGCCCTGCTCAGGGTGGGACTACACATCTCCCTCATCTCTGTCCCCCAGGGCTAGGAAGCGGAGTGACAGTCAGCCTGCAGGTTTGGATCACATGGGGCGGTCAAGAGAAGACCATCCTGGACCAGGTAAGGGTCTACCAAGACAGCACGTGGCTCTGAGATTACTCTGCCACCCACTGCCTGACTGATATGGCGCAGGTGACTTAACCTCTTGGAAACTGGGGACAAGACTTTCAAAATTGTCATGGTGATTAAGAAATCCACAGGCACTTTGTAGGGGCTTAAAAATGGGGGAGTTTAGGATTATTCCCAGAAGCTCTATGTGTCTGACCACCGCTAACCTCTCTCATAACTCCTGCCACACCCCCTCCTCCCTCCAGCCAGTCTTGTTCCTGCCTCAGGGTCTTGGCACTTGCTGTTCTGGCCATGGAAAAGCCCATTCCCCTGATCTTTTCCTGACTGACTCCATCTCGTTTAACTTGAGTTCCTCAAAGTAGCTGACCCTGGCCATCCTACCTAAAGGAGGATTTTCCTTGTGCCCTGTGTGCCCCATCGGCCCTGCCTCCCCTCCCACCATTCATCACAAGTCCTCACGGCCAGCCACTGTACTAAGTGCTGAGATGTAACACTCAATAGAAAGACAAAGACCTCTGCCCAAGTGGTGCCAGTGTCCTACTGGAGGAAGATGGACATTGACAACAAAAAATGAGTCTGCTTTGGGGTAAAATTTAAAAGTAGAACAGAGGGAGATTGGGAATAGGGGGTAGGAGCATTACAATTTTAAGTAGTAGTCAGGACAGGCTGCATGGAGAAAGATTTGAAAGAGGTGAAGGAGGAAATGATGTGAATATCTGGAGGGTGAGAGTGGCCCAGGCAGAAGGAATGGCCAGTGCAGTCCTGGGGCCAAAACAAGACCTTGAACTGTTCATTCAACCAAAGGATGTGAGTGGGGCTGAACCATCTGGAGCTCAGATTTGAGGAGCTTTTTTGGCTACTGTGAGGACTTTGGCCTTTACTCAGAGTGAGCTAGAACCATGGGAAGGTTTTAAGTCTCTATAAGAGGGTCTATTTATATGTTCAGTAAATACAGTGTCTCCCAAAAGTCTGGGTGCAGCTTTAAGTTCTAATAACCTCAGAAGTAAAAATGCCACACACTTAACAAAAGACATCATTTGAAAGTTTGATAAACGCAGTTTCTTTGATGCTTTTGTAGTTTTTCGAATTTTGAATAATTTTTTTTCTATTTTAGTTTTGTACATCAGTGCTTACCATCTTCAATCAGAGGGGCAAAAACAAAGAATTCAAATTTAAACTGTAGCATTCAGAATTCATATGTAAGTGTCAAAAAAAAGTTCATTTTCAGACCACTGATAAGTGTGTAGCATTTATATTGGTGAAGTTTTAAGTTCAAAGCCACACCAAGATACCCAGTTATTGACTTGATGAACCAGAAGGTTGGTAGCCCATGAAGCCCCCCACCCCATCTGGCTTTCTTCTCTGTGTACTCCCTTCACTCCCTCTTGTTTGATCCCTAGGAGACTCCGCTGTGCCCATATGTGCCCTCCCTCGGATGGGTAGTGACCCCATGTTGCTGAAGACCCCAGCTTCTCTGGGGTGTGTTATTGACAGCCTCAGGGCCTCCGATGGGCAGCTTCATGCCAAGGCACCCACCAAACCACCTCGAACACCCTCACTGTTGCTGCATGATGCGTCTGGACGCCCCCCAACATACTGTGAGCTGGTGCCCCGAGTGCCCAGTGCCCAGGGAACCCCCCCAGGCCACGGCAGCCCAGAGACAGAGGCCCCACCATGGTGGGAAGCCAACAAAGAAGAGGAGGAAGAGAACAGAAGTTTTGCAAGACCAAAGGCCGAGGTCTCTTTCTGGCCCCCTAACAACCCCTTCTGCCTCCTGGGCCCCCAGAATCGGCCCCTGGAACCCAAAGTCCTGAGTACTCTCCGTGACCTATTCCTGGAGCACCATCCTGGGAGCACGGCCCTGCACCTATTATTGGTAGACTGCCAGGTGGGTCACCTACCTGGTCACTCCTCCCCAGACAGGGGCTGAAGCCGGGCCAAGGCCCAACAGCACCTCACACCCATATACTCATTCTGCTCGGTTGACCTCCCCACTAACCCCCCTGCCCAGGCTACAGGCCTCCTAGGAGTGACCAAGGCTCAGCGGGGTGCCATGGGGGTCGCCTCTGGCCTGGAGCTGCTCACACTTCCCCATGGGCATCGCTTGAGGTTGGAACTTCTGGAGAGGTGAGCCAGCCACCTGGAATCCCCAGGGTCTTCAAACCTCCCCCCATTCAAGGACCCCCCAGGGGGGAGGTGAGATGGGCAAAGCTACTCCCCCACCACGCCCCTCACCTCAGAGTTACAAACCTCCCACTGCCCCCAGACCCTTGCTCTCCACCTCCACAGACACGAGGCGCTGGCGCTGGCGGGGGCGCTGGCCGTGCTGGGCTGCGCGGGGCCGCTGGAGGAGCGCGCGGCCACCCTAAGGGGCCTGGTGGAACTGGCATTGGCGCTGCGGCCAGGGGCGGCCGGGGACCTGCCTGGACTGGCCGCGGTCATGGGCGCCCTGCTCATGCCACAGGTGCGTGGGGAGCAGAAATATGGAGAAAGCCTGAGTGCTGCTGATGGGGAAGAGGGAAGAGGCCCCATGTTCAAGACTCCTCCCCCAGGTGTCCCGGCTGGAACGCACGTGGCGCCAACTCAGAAGGAGCCACACCGAGGCTGCGCTGGCCTTCGAGCAGGAGCTGAAGCCGCTGATGCGGGCACTGGATGAGGGCGCCGGTGAGTGGCATCGCCTGGCGCTCCACACCCGCTCCAACCAGAATCCGAATCCAGCCCGAGGCCCAGCACGTCAAGTCCCTTCACCATAGACTCCACCCTCTTCGCTCTAGGCCCCGCCCTTTGCGTCCGGCTCGGTCCGGGAGCGCCCAAACCCTGGGCCCCGCCTCTGTTTCTGTCCTGGGCTCCGCCCCCGCTCTAGGCCTCGCCCCGGACCCAGTCCTGCCCTGTGCTAGGCTGGAACCAATGTTTCTGGGCTTCCACCCCTAGGGTCAGCCTCGACCGAGTCTCCCAACCTCTTCACCCTAGGCCCCATCTTCAGCCCCAAGCCTAACTCAGGGCCCTTCCCCGCACAGGACCCTGCGAGCCGGGCGAGGTGGCGCTGCCGCACGTGGTCCCCGCCGTGCGCCTGCTGGAGGGCGAGGAGCTCCCGGGGCCGCTGGACGAGAGCTGCGAGCGGCTGCTGCGCACCCTGCACCGGGCGCGTCAGATGGCCCGAGACGCGCCCAAGTTCCGTGAGGCAGCCGCCCGGCGCCTACGAGGTGAGTGCTCCCCTCTGCTCCCTGCTGCCAGACGGTCCCGACTTCCCGAGCACCCCGCATGCTCTAACCGGGTACCCAAAAACCCACCAGGCCAGGGACCAGAGCCTCCCGCCACGCCTCCCAGAGTCCCACCCAAACTGGGACGGCCTGGTCTCCGGGGAGTTCTCACCCCAAGTCCGAGTCGCTGCCAACAGTGTTGACAGGGAATAGTGCTCTCCACCCCAAAAGGGTTGGCCCCCGGCCCCAGAGCCACGTCCACAGATTCCCACTCCCTGCCTGCACGCCCCCCACCCCCGCTCCCACCTGAACCGGCCCTGCCCCCAGAGGATCTCGGTCCCCTCCAACAAGGCCTAGCTCTCTCCAAGATGAGTCAGTTCTTCAACCTGGTAAAACAGCGCCCCCGCTGCGTTCAGAGCCAAACCTTCCTCCCGTCCAGGGACAGCCCGGCCTCCAGAATCCCCAACCTGGCTTATTCCGCTTTCGCTGGTGACCTAAGCACTCCTCTCTCTCCAACATGGCTCAATCTCCCCCAAAATGTGTCGCACTGGGCGGCCCAGACTCCAAATCTTGCCCCTCAAGTGGCTTCATCCCCAGGCACAGCCCCCCCCCCCCCCCCCAGCATCACGCACTGGAACAGACTGCCCCTATGCAGCCTGGCACAGTATGCTTCCGCCGAGCTCCTTGGCCGCCCCACCCCCAGTCCTGCGGAGACTCAGAGCGCCCCCTCCCCGTGAACCCCGCCCAGTTGTGCAGAGCTTCTGGGCAGAGTCCCTCCACAGTCTCTGCGGGGACAAAGTTCTGAGGGGAGAAGGCAGGTGCAGGGTGGGGCGAGGCAGGGGCCTGGACCCCGCCCCCAGCCCGCCTGGCCCCGCCCCCAGGATTCCGGCCAAACCCGCAGCTGAGGGAGGCCCTGACCACAGGCTTCGTGCAGAGGCTCCTCTGGGGAAGCCGAGGCGTGGGGGCGCCGCAAGCCACACGTCTCGAGAAGTTCCAGCGCGTCCTCAGTGTCCTTTCGCAGCGCCTTGAGCCGGATGTTTGAAAGCACAGAACCCCTTCTTCCTGGGACGCCCAGGCTTTGGGGAACCCCGGCAGACACCAAGGAAGTTGCCCCAAGCTGTTCACATAGCCAATCGCAGTGGGAACCCACATTCTGCCTCACAGATTTGCAAAAACTCAATACTGTATCCCTAGAAGTGTACGTGGATCCTAGGGTGAGGGACAGCCTCCTGCCTCACGCTAGAAAATCCAGGTGTCTGGAGGCCCTATCCCACCTCCCACCCCCACACACCTATCTGACAAATGGGCAACATGAGGCTTTTAATGGCAAGAGAACTTGCAGATCTCTTACTCAGAGGCCAGAGTTCAAATGCTTTTTTAAGAGCTGTGTGACTTCTAGCAAATGGCTCAACCTCTCTGTGCTTGCCTTCCACGTAAAAGGGAGGCCGTGTACTTTCTAGGGGTTTTCATGGGGGATTAAAGCTGTGTTCAGATATCATGGGTGGAGAATGCCTGGTACACAGCAGGTGCTAAACATTACCTTTTCTCAGTAAAGCTGTGGTAAACACAGAAAGGATGTTTGGTGCTTTTCTTCCCATACTGAAGTCACAGACAAGCACCCAACTCCACGGAAGTTTTGTCCAAGGTGTGCCCGAGTTTACCTCCCCTTCTTCATTCTCTCCGTGGCCAGGAAGGAGGCTGGCATTTGCATATCCAGCCCCAGTATGTAAATCTACCAATAAGGCACAGACTCCAAAAGCTTTATAGAATTTTTTTATATAAAACAAAATGGCCCTAGCCCAGCGGCAGGAAGAAAAGATTTGAAACACGAGTATGTACATCAATGGTAGAAGGCACAGCGAGTCCGTCTGGGATGAGGAGTGGGTTGGGGGGCGGGGGGCAGCAGGTTACACAGGTCTCAGCTGAAGCCACGGGGGCAGAAATAAAGTGCGTAGGTCCTGGGGCCCCCCGTGGCCCAGAAGCAGCAGCCAACAGCCCCCTTCTTCCCGCCTGTGGCAGGGTTCAGCTGAGCGTGACACGGAGGTAGGAGGTGGGCACATAGCCCTCACCTCCCTGTTTCCGCCTGACCCGGGTCCAGCCATCACCTTTGTCCTCCTCCATGAGACTGAGGTCTTCACCCTCAGCCATGGAGATGGTGCCCTCGCTGGACCCTGCCGTGGGAGGGGCAGTGGGCTCAGATCTGCTTCAGGTGCAGGTAAACACAAATCTAGCCAAAAACACCGCCCACCCCCTAAGCAGCTGATGGGACACACAAGCTGTCCTCACCTTCAAAGTGGTATATGGCCACACAGTGACCTATGGGGGATGCCGGCTCCTCAAAATCCTCATCAAACTCCGTGTAGATGGGGGCATCCTGACCCTCCTCGGAGAGGGGCTCCTCAGAGCTGGTTGGAGAGAGCAAAGCAGGTCAGGACAAGCCTCCCAGGTGCTGGGGCCAGACCCACTCTGGCCTCCACACTCACCTCTCCTTGTCATCCTGCGGTCTGCTGTTGGTGCTGCTGTCTGGTGGGGCGCTGGCTGGGGGCTCTGGAGGCCGGGTGTGGCGGCCCAGGCTGTCCCCCCGGTTGCTCAGGACCCGGCTCTCGGCTTCCGCCAGCCAAGCCTGAGAGGAGGGAGTCACAGTCAATTCCAGGGCAGGGCTCCGGGGTCAGCCCGTCCTGGGCCTGGAGGTTTCCTGAGATCACCCATGCACACCCAAGGCTGTGATGAGAAACAGCTGGGGCACCACCCCCACCGAACACCTCCCTGTCCCTGCCCCCCCCCACCCCGCCAAGGAAGTGACTCAGCTAGGCCCGCTGGCCCCCACCCCTCCCCAGGGTCTTCCCTGACCTCATACTTGTGCACTTCCAATTTCAGCCGTTCGATGTTGTTCAGGGTTTCCGTGATCCGGGGCTCCAAGCTGGCAGGGTCCCCCATCTGGGGTGTCTTCTCATACACATCCTTCATTTTCTTCAGGGCTTCTCTAGGATTGACACAGACAGATCAGAAAGAACAGTCCCATATGGCTTAACAAGCAAAAAAAAAGAAAAAAAAATGTGCTTGGCTTCAAGGAGCCAATAGCAAGAAAAGGCAGTGGTTAAATCACAAATGCTGGTGCTTCACTGCCTGGGTTCGAATCCCAGTCTGGGCATTTCCTTGTCTGTGAGTGTGGGTCAAGTTACCGGACCTCTCAGTACGCAAATCTGGCAAGTGGGGATAACGATGCATATATCTCATTAAGTGGCTGCAAAGATTAGAATGGTGCCTTTATTTATTCAGATACACGTTGACTACCTACTGCATACCAGTCACTGTTCCAGCCATCAAAATATAGCCCTACACAAGACAGTCAGGATTCTGCCCTGGCTCACGGTCGCAGGAGAACTTGGGAACGCCAGTGAATCTATGTAAAGGATTTGAAATAGTGTATAGCACACAGTAAGCACTCTAAATGCTCGGTGTTATTATCGTTAGTCCCTGGTCCCTATCTCCTCCAAGACTATGTATATAGGCAGTAATAGTAACAAGCATAGACCTTGGAATACGTCAAACCTGGGTTCAACTTCTTTCCAGTCCTAATACCACATCCAGGCCACGGGGAAACAAGCAGAGAGGGGGGATAGCGAAAATTCAACGCCAACCTGTCCTGACTCCAAAGCATGCTCCCTTCACCCCTACATCATAAAGACTCGGGGCGCCTGGGTGGTTCAGTCAATTAAGCATCTGCCTTCGGCTCAGGTCATGATCCCAGGGTCCTGGGATCGAGTCCCATGTCAGGGGCTCAGCAGGGAGCCTGCTTCTCCCTCCCCCTCTGCCCCTCCACACGTTGTGCTCTCTCTCTCTCTCTCTCAGATAAACAAAATCTTTAAAATAAATAAATAAATAAAAATAAAGACTCAGGTAGTTCTGAATGGAACTTTACACCAATAAAAGCTTTGTACAATAAAAGTTTTGTACAAGAGGTTCTATGCAAATGACAAGAGAGAACTGGGCTGCCCGTCCCCAAGTGGCAAACGTCATTCCTATTATTTAAGGAGTGGGAAGAGGCTCTTGTTGCTTGGAAGAAGTGAGTACAGATTTTCTTTTTTTCAATCTGGCAGATTTTTTTATTGTTAATATTTTAAGTGTTTGAGTTATTAAGCAGATAACCATGGGTGAGTTTTTTTTTTTTCTTTTAGCCAATTATGGTAGTAAATGAGACTAATAGATGTTTTTATATTGAACCATCTTTGCATTACTGGGATAACACCCAATCGATCATGACTTGTCTTTAAAAAAGTTATGTTTTTATTATGGTAAAATACACATTAACACGAAAGTTCCCACTTGAACCGTATCTAGGTGTACAGTTCCATGCTATCATATCAAGTACAGCCACACTGTTGAGCAACAATCCCCATCACACGGAACATTATTTTTAAAATACATCACTGGATTCGTCTGGCTGGGAATCTGCATCCAAGATCCTAAGTGAAGTAAAATGAGCCCAGAATTTGAATGTCTTGAATTCTCACTAAGAGATATCGGAATTGATTCCACCAAGCCTCCTAAATGAGCTGGCAGCTTTCACTTTTTCTGTTTGCTGCAATGACTTGTGTAAGAGGGGAAGTAACTGTTTCCTTCTAAGTATGGTAGGAATCACCTGTAAAACCACCGGTGCCTGGGGCTTGTTCGGGAGAGCTCAGAGTACCATTTCAGTATAGTTCATTTATCCTTTTATTTTTGTTCCTTGCCTGCCTGCCCCCAATCTTACCTCTGGTCGACCTCCTTCTGTAGCTCACGATTCCGTTCTTCCAGCTGCTGCTGAAGTCGTTTTCTCTGCTGCTCTGGAGGCAAGTGGCTGAAATCCTCCGTCACCACTGTCTGCAAGGTGGGAAGAAGACTGAGTTTGGGATCAGGGATTCTCAGCGTCCAGGCTCTGACAGTGCAAAGACATACCAAGTCCACCTTCCTCCCCACCCAAGGTTCTTGGGGGGCAAGGCCATGCACAGAGCAAAGCAGGTCCGGGTCCAGAAACCGGAGGAGGGGGCCCAGCCGGCGGCAGGAAGCGAGCCCAGGGTCCCGCCACCCAGCCGCTAGGCAGGCCGGGGCCGCCCCCTCCTCCCCCGGAGGCCTCACTTACCCCACGGCTGCCTCGAAGGCTGCAGAAGGATGCTAGCCGCGGTTTGACTGACTTACTGATCTCACTCAGTATGGCCAAGGGGTCGAGGCCGGAGCGGGGGGATGGGGGTCCGTTAGGCAATGGAGAGGGCAGGGGGCCCCCCAGGGAGGAGAGGGGTGGGGGGCGTGGCTACCGGCGGGGCAGGGGAGGGGGTGGGTCAGACGGGGTGGGAGGATGTAGAGAAGGAGGATGGACCGACGGACGGACGGACGCAATAAAGAAAAAAGAAAAAACAAAATGGAGAAAAGAAAAGAAAAAAAAACGGTAAGAAAACCACAACTCAAGATGCACAATCACGCACAGAAAATGCATGCAAAGAGCAACACAAAAATCTGGGAGGTGGTGGGGAGGGCATTAGACTGTGAGCCAGAAGGCCAGACCCCTCCCTACCCCCGTATGTCACCTCTCCCTTGAATTCTATATCCAGTACCTACCATGGGGCCTGGGGGGAGGGGAGAGGGGCAGGGAGGCCCAGGGTTCTGTCCACCCAGCTTTCTGGGCTCACAGTCTAGAAGGTACAGGGAGATGCATTCGGGGAGTCAAGATCTCAGACAGGTATATGGCCACAGAAATCAGAGGCAAGCAGAGAGAAAGGTAAAGGCATGAAGTATCAAAAGGGTCACAGGTGGGGTTGAAGCTGCGGGAGTCCCGTGTACAAAGTGAGGAGAGGTATCAAATTATATGTCAAGAGGGATCAAAACTATGTAACAGGGGTCATGAGATATAAACCTGGGGGCGGTGTCTAAGGTATAAAACAGGGGTGTCCAGCTATGTGCTTGACAATAAACCAAAAGTCCCAAGAAAAAACAGCCTGAGGGTCGGGGGCCCAAGGACCCACTGGCAGGACGGACTCCAGGGGAGTCCTTAGGGCGAGTATCTTAAGCCCTCATCCAGCCCTGAATCCCAGAAGCAGGTCTTCTCCCAGCATCCCGAGAAGCAGCAGACAGACGCCACAGGCCCCCTCCCTGCACCCCCCTCAGCCTTGGGGGACTCCCAGGCCAATAGCCGGGCCGCCTCCCTTCCCTCCAGCCCGGGCCAACAGCCAAGAGGAAAATTCCTGCCCAGGACTCAGCGTCCCGGCGGCTGGGCCTGACTCAGTGGGGGCCCCCCTTTCCCCACTCACACTCCCCCTCCCAAGGGCCCCGGCCCCCACCTTGTTCTTCTTGCCGAAGGGCCAGCGCTTGGCACGGCTACGGCCTGAGCCTCGGAGCTCAGGCCGTCCATCGGAGGGGGTGCCCAGGCTGCTGTCTGAGGGCACGCGGTTCATGGGCTGGCTGAAGTCTTCGAATTCCACGTCACCAGGGCGGGCAAAGCCTGACTTGTGCAGCTCGATTAGGACCTGGGAATCCTGCGAGGAGGGGCGGGGGGTGGTGGGCGGGGAGCAGTCAGGGACAAGACTAGGGCCTGGGGTC